TTCAGGGCTGGTTCCCAGTGCCGCCAGCGGGAGGCGCCCTGCGGGCCGGTCAGAGCTGGTTCCCAGTGCCGCCAGCGGGAGGCGCCCTGCGGGCCGGTCAGAGCTGGTTCCCAGTGCTGCCAGCAGGAGGCGCTGCGGCAGTGAGTCACGCCCCGGGCCAAGGAGGAGGGAGGAAAACTTGTTCCCCTCGGCCTCTCGGGGCAGGCTAGGAAGCAAGGGGCTTTACCTGCGGCCAGGGAGGTTGAGGTTGGCCAGGAGGAAACACGTCCGTCCTGCCTGCCGGGGGCTAAGCACGGCAGAACGACTGGGGTTTTACGGGAGGCAGAGATGTCCTTTAGCCCTCGGCTGGGCCCCCGCCGAGGGGAGTCACTCGAATTTCCCAGGCACGGCCCCGTCCTGTTAGCGACACGCCCGGAAGCTGCGGGCCTTCAGCGCTATGTCACAGAACGAGCTGCTGATGCCTCCTGTGGCACAGTGACCTGGGGTAGCCCTGCTGGGCAGAACATGGCGCAAGGAGCATCCCAGCGCCTGGGTTTAGTTCTGGCTTTGCCCCTCCCTCCTTGTGACTCTCACCTCAGTGTGTGGCGCTTTACAGGACTAATGGCCCCTCGGAGGGGCGGTCTGAGCTCTCCCCCACACAAAGGGGTTCAAACCATTTTGCTGCTGTTCGTTACTGTTCCTCACGTGCAGCGGGTGGCTCTATTGTGGTGTTAGCCGGTGACTGAAGTAACAAGTTACTCATGGGCTGAATATACGTGTCGCTTCAAAGGAAGTGTAGGCGGGGAAGCCACGTTAGCCTGTATCCGCAAAAATAATAATGAGTCCTGACTTACGTCAACCAGTGGAACTCCTCGCCAGAGGATGTTGTGAAGGCCAGGACTTTAACAGAGTTCAAAAAAGAACTAGATAAATTCCTGGAGGTCAGGTCCACCAATACTTATTAGCCAGGCTGGGCAGGGATGGGGTCCCTCGCCTGTTTGTCAGGGGCTGGGAATGGGCGACAGAGGAGGGATCATGTGATGATTTCCTGTTCTGTTTGCTCCTTCTGGGGCACCTGGCGTTGGCCACTGTGGGCCACCAGGACAGTGGGCTGGACGGGCCCGTGTGACCCAGACTGGTTGCTCTTCTGTTCTTATGTTGACCCCCAAAGCCGCAGCCTCGGGCTTGGCCACAAAGACGTTGTCCAGGGTCTTGTATGAAGCAGTAAGTTCTGCCCTTCGGCCGCTCCGGTGATAAATGGAGGGAGACGGCACGTCGGTAACGCAGGGTGGGGGCAGCCCTGTTGGTCCCAGGCTACCAGCGTGGGGGGGGGTTAAATCTTGTATTGGACCAACTTCTGTTCCATGAGTGTCCCATCTCGTTAGCACCTCTTCCTTGGGGCAATTCGGGGCGAAGTGGCTCATTGGGCAAAGAACGGGAGGAGGGAGGGAGTTACAGATTGTTGTAATGAGCCATCAGTCCAGCCAGGTTGTGGGTGTCAGGTCCCAAGCAGCGTTCCCTGTCTGTTGCACGCTTGGGCACTTGTGAGAGCCCAGGGCTGCCCAGCTGATTAGCAGAGCGCCCCCAGCTCGGTTTGGCTTTCGACTGGTGGTGCACATTCACGTGTGCCGCTGCGCAGGTCAGAAATGGATCCCGCACATGGAGGGAAAAGATGACTGGGACCATTGGTCCCACTGGACTTCGAAAGGAGTTGTGCAGGCTTCCTTTCTGGAGGCGGACTGGAGGGCAGCAGTGGAGTGCTTGCCTTGTGAAAAGCCGGGACTCACCAGTGCGAGGGTGTGTCTCTTACTTTCTTGCATGAGTTCCGAAACAGGACACAGGCCGGCAGGGTGCCAGCCTTTGCCAGCAGCGACGCTGCATGGAAGCCAATGGAAAGGCTGCCGGCCACTATGCAGAGTGAGCGGGGGAGGGTGGGAATGCTAGGGATGCAAATATTCCTATTTGGCCAGAACTGCAAAGCTAAATCCCTCGATACTCCCAACGCGCTCCAAGCCGGGATGAAAAGGGCCAGCGCGGAATCTTGCACAACGTCGCATTGCTGGCCCCGTCCGCCCCTCCATTATTCACGGGCTGAATGCGGAGCAGGACTCCTGCCTGCAGTCACGCCGCGTGGGCGCTGGGAAACGCCACCTCCGATGTTGGCCCATCAAGTTTCCAAATGAAAGGACGCTGCAGGGTGTGCCGTGCACCCGGGGCTGCAAACAGACCCACAGCCGCAGTAACACAATAGCATCAAATGGAAAAGTTAGGCCCATAAAAAGTTCTAATCTGGTAATTAATTAGGACCTTGTGCAAGAAGGAGGCCTCTCGCCCTGCCGGCAGTCTGAGAAGCCGTATAAAAGCCCTCGCAGCAGACAGCTCTTCTAAGCGCTGCTGTCGCCTTGTTCTCCACCCGGCACAGGACAGGTCTGACTTGACTCGCGCGCTGCGTAAGTATCAAAACGTCCCTTTTTCTCAACGGTTTGAACTGAAACTGGATCTTGCCGAATCTTCGGACTCTTAGCGACGTGCAGGGGTTTCTCTCCAGCAAGGCCTTTTTTAGTGGTTATTCGGCTGCAGATGCTGCTGGATTGGGAAATCAAAAGTTCAGGTGTGAGGAGTTAGATCATCCAGTTCCCATGAGCTTTCGCTGGCTTTGAAAAATCGCAGCCCGCTGACTTGTGAGCTAGAGAGTCGTCTTTAGCAATTTCTGAACATCCCTCTGGCCAGACACCCCTCTGAGTTCAACAGATTTACACCGCTTCGCACGGCTACGAAGCTGGCCCCAGCCCTTCTCCGGCTACAAAGCCAGGGACCTCCGATTTCAGAGCTAACCCCGAGGTGCAACTGTATTTACTTATTTAAAATATTTTTACCCTGCCTCGCTATTTAAAATATTCGAGGCGGCTTCCAAAATGTTAAATGTTTTAAAGGTTTAAACTTCACTGTTACAGGCAGTCCCCTCTGGGGGGGGGGTCCAAAGGTTCGATTGTACGTGGGCAGTTGGGATGTCAGAACGCTGTGCCCATGGGATCAATGTTACACACGGTAGCGAGGTGCCCAGGCTAGCCCACAAAAGCCTGTTTAACCCGTCATGGAGCTGAACTACGGGCTATTAGGACAAGGAGCAAGGGGTTTAAAGTGCAGCCAGGGAGGTTCAGGTTGGACGTTAGGAAAAACTTCCTGCCTGTCAGGTGGTGAAACCCTGGAATAAGTTGCCTGGGGAGGTTGTGGAGTCTCCATCGCTGGAGAGATTGAAGAGCAGGTTGGATTTGGGCGTCCAACTCCCCTAAACTTGCAGGTGCGTGTGCCTCTGCTCTGGCCCGGTGGGGGGAAGACGCCACAGGAGACAGACCCGCGGACTGAGCAAGTCTGGGAATTCTCGTGTGCGCAGGCGCCTGCGTTTGCCATTTTAGCAGCGTGTGAGGTTGTGGAGTCTCCATCGCTGGAGAGATTGAAGAGCAGGTTGGATTTGGGCGTCCAACTCCCCTAAACTTGCAGGTGCGTGTGCCTCTGCTCTGGCCCGGTGGGGGGAAGACGCCACAGGAGACAGACCCGCGGACTGAGCAAGTCTGGGAATTCTCGTGTGCGCAGGCGCCTGCGTTTGCCATTTTAGCAGCGTGTCCTCAGCTCCTCTTTGACAAACCGACCCGGCCGCGTTGGGATCTGGCCCCCTCTGCCAGCCAGCGCTGCCAGCCAGTGCG